GACTGTTCAGTAAACCATTCGGCCTGCGATTTAGGCTGGATTTTAGATTTTGGCCCCTTCTCTGATTGAGTTTGACACCCCTAAGATAGAGTGTCCGTGGGTAGTGAGGAAATAGAGCCGACAGGACAGGCCACTTTTTCCTAAAGGAGGAAACGTGGGAATGAAGGAGAAAAGGAGGTTGACGGAGGGTCTTGGTTTTCTCTGATGGACTAGAGTCAAGTTCATGGGGTGAGTCTGCCCCGTGAGCCCTGCATGGCTGAGGCGTTCGAACAGCATGGTCGGTGCTGCCCGGTCCTGAGCCGACAGGAGGATCTTAGCAGTGTCTCAGCACTTCCTCCCACCAGGAAACAGAGTGCTGCTCCCACACCGTGTGTGTCCTGAGAACTAGCACATCCTGTTCAGCCCTCCTGGGTAACTCCCTGGTCTCCACACCAGGGACATTCTAAGCCTGAACCAAGTCTTGTTGGACAGGCCATGGATCTTGCCTAGACCTGAGTCAGCATCCTTATAGGAACTTCCATCTATAATAAAAGAAGTGCTGTCTCCTAGTGTGTCCATAGCACAGCTTGTTCAGATCACCTCAGCTTGCCATGTCCTAGTGCCCCTGACCATCTGGACTACGGGTCCTTTCTCAGAGTTGGCTAATCCTTCAGCCTAAGTTATTCCTCGCACAGCTGTTAGCTCTCCCCTTCTCCACGCTGTGTGATTCTCAGCAAACTGTGTGGCTGAGCCTCTGCATGCACAGTAGGAGGCAGGGGAAGTAAAGCCATGGCTAAGGGGCTTGAAGATGTAGGCAAGAGGGGCAGTGGTTGGTACAGGGTCCCTGAGAAGCCAGTGAGAATGAGCTCTGCTGTATGGGTTTGGCTCATTAAAGAAAGAACACATCTTCCCCAGGGATAAAATTAAAGAGAGCTAATGATATTAAAAGTCCTTAAAATATGTCAAGCAGGCTCTTCACTGAGGGTTTTGCTTATATTATTGTACCCAATACTCACACCTGTGCTATACAGAGGCCCTAATGTCATCCCCAACTCACAGATGCAAAAACCGAGCCTGGAGAAGTTCAGGGGTCTTCAAACTTCTCTCATTATGAGAATCACCTGGTGGAGTTGTTAAAACACAGATTCCCGGATCCCAACTATAAGAAGTGCTATCAGGAATCTGTGTTTTAACACCTCCACCAGGTGATTCTCATAATGAGAGAAGTTTGAAGACCCCTGAGTTAGATCATGAGCCAAGGTCACCCAGGTGAGAGTGATGGCTGGGGCTGTAATTATTGCCTGACTCCAAGTCCTGTTGTCATCGTCTCTGCTCGGGACCTGTGTGTTAATGAAGACACAGGCAGTCTGCAGTGCAGGGAGCAGCAGTTGAGAAGCTAATATTGACTCAGAAACATTATCTCAAGGTCATAAAGAAAAGGAAGTGAGGTCATCTCTGGAGCTTGGGCGTGGGGGCCTTGGCCATCTCCACAGGAGTTCACGGGAGTAGAAGAGGATTGGAGCGGCCACTGTGGGACAGTCAGGGGGGTCAACAGCACGGCTCAAAGGCCCTGGCCCGGCAGCAGGGCCCAGCTGGGGCTGGGGAATGTGGCTTTTGTAGTGAGGTCCATGAACTCAGTTTTATGAGTTTCTCCAGCAACCTTTCACTGCCCACGCGTGCAGGACCACAGAAGGGATGTGATGCCTTCTGGCTCACTCCTCAGGGCTCAGCACTCGATGACAAGCCCAGAAGGGCAGTGTCACGTGTTGATGCGCTGGGCCATCTGCAGAGGAGGGATAATGGGGTCCCGAGGGGCCAGGGATAGGCCACGTGGGAATGACTGAGGCTTGGGATGGGAGAGCAGAGTTCCCTGCCGAGGGACTGGCCACAAGGAAGCCTGTGCAATGAGAATGGGGCCAGGAGATCTGACGGGGTTTGGGAGGCTGCCACGAAGAAGCAGCTGTTTGCAAAAATACATACATTAATGCCCGCCTACTATTGCAGCCTGGGACACAGCCCTTCCCTGCTCACGCCTGGTGAGCAATACCTTGTGTCAGGCAAGGATAGGGGAATGCTTTCTCCATTCTGTTTACTTCCCTCAAACATTGGGGCTGGACTGGATGGCAAAACATGGGCCCTGGTAAAAGCCCGGTTTGCTAACGAGGCTGTATTACAGCCATGCTCTGCTTTCCGAAGCAACACCCCCAGGAGAAAAGAAATAAAGCCATTTTTCTTCCGAGGCAGAAGGCTTAACATTGCTTAACAATAACACTTAACATTGCTTAGCCCTTAGCCTCAGGCAACCTCATAACTGCCATGCGAGGAATCGTCTTTTTCCTGGCCTGGCCAGGGCTCTGGCTCAGTGTTTTGTGAAGTGCCATTCAGCCTGGCAGCGGCTGCCCGGGCCTCCTTTAACATGACAGAGCTCCATGAAAGCATAGCGGGCGCCCCTTCGCCTGGGCTCCCCACCCTCTGCGTGTCCACGGGGAAGCATTGTCTCTGTGTTGAAGGCTCCATGTTTGACATATCAAAGCTTCCCTATAAGGCTGGCCACTGACTTCCTATTGATAGAATCATTCCTACTTGTATTTAAAGATGTAACTCCACGAATATGTCAAAGCTTCCTGCTGCTGCGACAGAGAGGGGATTCAGTGCTACGAGGAGGTGCTCTCCAACTCTGCCAGCAGAAGGGAGAGCAGTGGGGCTGGTGGGACCCCATTACGTGGATGGAGACATCTCCAGGGCCCAGGAGACCAGGAAACCAAGGAAATGTCTTGGGCATTCAGAGGAATCTCCACCTTCTCAGAAGCTGGCTGGGCAGCTGCTGCTTCTGCATTCTGCTGCTTGTGGGTAAATAAGGAGCCCCTCCTCCCCATACCCCAAGGATTAGAGCATCTTCCTGTTAGATATTGAGATGGAATCTTGAGTTTAAGCCCTCCTCCCATCTAGAAACCAGTGAGAGGGATTTCGTGCGTTTGTCTGAGCTGTATTCATTCTCCATCACAGCAACCTGGCTGCCAGGTGGCTACAGAGGTCTGCTTGCAAGGACAGCTAACCGTCCCACCCTGGTGTTTGTGAGCGAGTGGACCATTGGCCCATTTGTTTGCCGCCTACAATGCTTGCGTCCAGCCACAGTGATACTCTTGGGGCTGGCGGGATTTTATAAATTCCTATGTGTATGATGACTCCAGAGCCACACGTAGCATGAAAGCGTTGCCTTTGTCAGATGGACAACGCCCTCCACAGTGTTCCATCCTGAAACAGACGTGTGTTGATTCAGCCTTGATGGAGTACTTCAAGGTTTATTAGTGACAATGCACACAAGTTGGACATGCAGAGGACTTTATGTTCATCATGAGAAATGTAGGCATGGGTAGCACCATCATGAAAAGTGATTTGCTGCTTCCTGTCCTCAACTGGGGCGTCCTGAGGATGGACTGACTGAGTCTCCAGTCTGTATAGTCTCAGGGCTGATAGCAAATAGACGAGCAACAGGTAGATGGGGAATGAAAGAGTGACTGAAATCTATAGAATTTTCAATGTTCTTTCGGTTTTTGATTTGTACCCAAAACTCCATTGCCTCCATCTGAGTTCAGGTTGGCCAGGAAGATGTTAAACTGCTTCCAGTTTTCCCTTTTTGCTTCCCTCTCCCAAGAACATGCTACTTTCCATCTGCTTTAACCACAATTTCCATACACTTCACCACGGAAAGCCAGGAATTTTATATTTGAAACAACTTTTGGAGACGACTTCCATCTTTTTTTTTTAAAATGAAAACAAGAGACGAGGCAAGGGAAAAGCAGGGAGAGGAAGGAAACCAAAGATGAGAAAAACTGTGAGACGAAATATAAAAATAGCAAAGCAGGGAGTAAAAAAACCTAGTGGTCCAGAAGCTTCTAAAATCTTGTATTTGGGGTATCCTGCCTAATTCGTGTTAAAAATTGGTTCTCTGCATGACTTGAGATTTCATTATGTTTGATGATCAACATACTACGGTATGTATCAGAGCAGATGTCTTGTATGTTTAGGAGGTTATTTTTGTTGGGAGTTGTTCTGAATCTACACACAGAAGTCTAACCAATACGCAACAAAACGGCACCTCCAGGTCTGAGTTAGCACTTCACAGCTAGGCTCTGATGGCCAGTTCCACCTGGTCCTCCTCTTCTTTGTTACAGGAGACATTGTAGCATGTTGGTTTTCTGGCTGTCCCTGACCCTTCCTAGATTACCCCCTCTTTGTCCCCCCTGCCCCCCAACCCCTCCACTCTGCTCATTCATTCTCACACGCTCAACTCCCTGAACTCCCCAAGTGGCCGCACTGTGATGCACCTTTGGAAAGGTTTCCTCTTTGTCATGCGCGCCAAGAGCAGACTAAAATTATTCTTCATCTCACAGATAAGAGCCCAGACCTTTGAGAACAGTATCACATTTTCAGGGTGTCCAGTTACAGCATCGGGGGATCGCGCTAGGCCGGAGCGGCTGGGCGAACCTTTCCCACGCAGTTCTGCTCCCATTCCCGCCCGGTGCCCCAGCCTCTCACAGATAGGTGCTGATGGCCTAAAGGACACCACCAGGTTCCAACTCAAGCAAAGGGCGCCTTCCCAGGTTCGCATTTCCCCCCTGCTTTTCCCCACCCGCATGGAGCTCCGGGGTGAAGGTCGGCCTGCCCTTCCCCGCGGGTCCCTGCGAGCCCAGGGGATTTACTGTGTAATTGTCTCTGAGCTTGGCGTCGGATGTTCAATACCACTTTTATAGCAATGGCTGAGGATTTCCATTCCGCATCCAATATTCTTGCTGACATGTTCCATTGCCATGATATACTATTTTCTCCCCCTAAAAAGTAACCCACAAGTGTTTCAATTATTAGCACGGTTGTGAAGATGGCAGTGCGGTTGCAGCAAATGGCGGCGAGGCGAAATTACAACGTATTCCCTCTCTCAGAGCCAGATTTCTAGCTCGTGCAGATTGAAATGCAGACTTTACGTGTAGGGAGCGGGTGACAGAGGCCCGCCGGGAAGGTACCTGGGCAAGGATGCGTACTGTCTCTCCATCCCTTCGAAGCGGAGGTTGTGCGCAGTCCCATCTGGACCCTTTCCAGACACCTGTGGAGAGAAGAGTAATTAGAGATGAAGATCCATTATACACCCCGGTTACTGACAATGCATCTCAAAATTATAATCAGGGCACAAATGCCGCCGCCGCCTGCCAAAATCTGCCCTGGGAACACAGCAGGGGCTCAGCGTCGCTGTGCGAACTGACGATCAAGCCACAAGCACGGCATTTAACCACAAAGTCACTTCTTTCCTAAAAGGGGCATTGTCGAACTGACTCCTTCCTGTCACCATGCCAGGGGTGACCTGTAGGCTGTAAGAACACTTCAAAAAAGCAAAAGAGAAAACTAGGCTTTCATTTTTATAACAGCTTTAGATGTCTAAAAAAATGTAGTACAGCGAGTTCCCATATAGCCAGTTTTCCGTTACTTACATGTCAGATTAAAATACAAATAATGAATCAGTACTGGTATGTTATCATTAACCACAGGCCACAGTTTGTTCAGATTCTACCCAATGCCTTTTTTTTGTCCCAGGATCCCATATTACATTTAGTCATCATGTCTCCTTAGGCTCTTATTGGCTGTGACAAGGGCTGTGTTTTCCAAAGCACCTTGTCAGTGACACCCTTCTTTACCAGCAGGTGTTGGTGACAGCCAGCTGTGTACTCCAACGGCTCCCATGAAGCCCTCTTCCCTCTCACTTAGTCTCCTCCCTTATGAGCAACCAAAGAGAAGCGGTTAACTATTTTCTAGCTAGTGCTGGTCGTTATTGTTTTTCCTCTCCTATGAATTCCTGTGTTCACCTCTCTCCGGGCCTTTTCTACCAGCCTCTGGAACTCTGAAGGGCAGTAACTGTCCTAGTTGTTTCTCAATGAAGCGTGCCAGTTCCATGTATCTAAAGCCTTTCTAGATAGTCCTTCTGTACCTACTATGCCAACTGAAAACAGGATGGACACTTACAGGGATTTCAAAGTACGTGTTGCCCTGGCCAGTGTGGCTCAGTTGATTGGCTGGCATCCTGTGCACCGAAAGGCTGCCAGTTTGATTCCCGCCCTATCGGTTTCACTTTAGCATTGATTTCTCTCTCTCTCTTTCTATGTAAAAATATTAATTAAAAAAAAAAAGCTAAAAGTACTTGTTAAGTGGCCAATTCCTCTCTTGTTCATGTGGCTTTGTGGCCAATCATGTGCTGGCCCTGGTGCTGGGTCGCCCTCGCATAACAGGCATGAAAGGGGTAAATAAAGACCACATGTGTCAAACACAAGGCCCGCGGGCCAAATCCGTCCCACCAGGCCTTGCAATGTGGCCCGCACCGCGCTGTCATCACTGCACTCCGCTGCGTTTCCATCACAATGACAGCTTATGACTGTTCAGTAAACCATTCGGCCCGCGATTTAGGCTGGATTTTAGATTTTGGCCCCTTCTCTGATTGAGTTCGACACCCCTATCCTAGACTATTATTTTGGGGGGAGGGAGAGTTTGCTATGGAACACAGGAAGTGGCAGTGTCCAGTCAGTAGGAGAAATTTTTCTAGGTAGCACTGCGCCTGGAAGTTATTTTCTTCCTCTCCAGTGTCCTAGCCCTCTATAAAACCGGCATCCCAGCGGGGGCCGTGTGTGTAGGGAGGGTTTGGTGGGGAGGTATTGCAAAGCAAATGTAGACACTCATGTAGAGAAGGAAAGACTATTCCTGGTGCTGATTTATTAAAGGAGGCCCTTCAGGGTGGATCCTACAAAACCACTCCATAGTTCACCGACACCTGGAACAGGAGTGGCTGGACTTATCTGAGCGGAAACCCGCCTGGCGAGCTCCCTAGGACTTACAAGAACTGCAGAGAGGGCTTAGCATGGACCCTTCTAACACTGCCAGAGGCCAGGATGGTGTCGGACAGACAGACAGGAGATAAGGAATTGGCACAGAAAAAGCAGCAAAGGAAAGAAGTGTTGTCACCAGCCACTCCCAACTAAGGTTTCTTTTGTTTTCAACCCTTTTTTTTTTTTTTTAATGGAGGAAGAATTAGCATAAATACAAAAACGATGTTAAAGATGATTAATTGTGGTTGTTGGAAAATATTATGCTTATGTATTCCTAGTGTGGCTGTAGACATTTACAACTAATCTTTTTCTTGGGGCCACAAAATTCCCAGTTAATACTTGCAGCAAAGATATCTAAAACGAGCTGGTCTGATGATGACAGTCAGCATTTTGGTGTCTCCAGGAGGCATCACCCTTACCCCTCCCCAGGCATCTGGTGAGCTACCAGCATACTAGATCATATAAAGCATAGGGTGATCCATACCCTGAAGGAACTTTCAATTTTGGGGGGAAAAAAAGCATCAGAAGTGAAATCATTAAAGGATGCTGTAGGATGTTACTAAAAGTAGCACAGATGACACTTGAAGATGTTAGGGGGAAAAATCATGAAAGTAGCAGAATGTGGTCTAGGCTTCAAAAAGTGGATGCCATTCTTTACATAAAAAAATTACTGTTCTTCATTAATTGTGTATATATTTAATGTGCTTCTCTATTAAAATCACATCTTTAAGGTAATCATTCGATTAGGGATTATTGAGCACCTACTGCATCCTAATGCCACGCGAGGCACTGTGTTCAAAGTGAGGAGCAGGGACTGGCTCTCCTCCTTGCTCTGAATGCAGAGGAGACAGGCCTGCGAACGATTATGGTGCAATGAGATCACTGCTAGCACGTTAGTCGGAGGAAGGAGGCAGCGGGGGTCTGAAGGACCAGACACCAGAGCCCACCTGGGAGAGCTGAAGACAGCTTCCTCTGGGTGCTGAAGCCTCCTCTAAACCTTGAATATGAATGAGGAGGCGGTTTTTAGGGGAGAAGGATGTAGTAGTAGCAGGAAAAGGCATTCTAAGTAGCGGGAACAAAAAGTGCAACATCAAGGAGTCTTAAAAAAAAGCACTGTTTTTTTCTGGGAATGTCAAGATTTTGGTTAAGGAAGAAACAGACGCTATGAGGAAAAGGATGTTAGTCACAGCTGACATTGAGGTCTGTGATCCACTCTGAGTTGCCTTTGTGGAAGGTTTAAGTCTTTGTGTACACTAATTTTATTTTTTATTTTTTTGCATGTGGATATACAGTTGTTCCAGCACCATTTGTTGAAAGGACTATCCTTGCTCTATTGTGTGGTCTTGGCTCCCTTGTCAAAGGTCAGTTGGTAATATTTATGTGGGTCTATTTCTGGACTCTATACTGTTTAATCGATTTGTCTATTCTTTCACCAACAGCACACAGTCTTGATTATTGCAGTTTAATACAAGTCTTGTGTTGGGTAGTGTCAGTCCTCCAACATGGTTCTTCTCTATCAATAGTGTTGGCTATTTTGGGTCTTATACTTCTCCATGTAAACTTTACAATTAGTTTGTCTATATCTGTGGTCGGCAAACTGCAGCTCATGAGCCTCATGAGGCTCTTTTTGGTCCATTGAATGTGGCTTTTCCACAAAATACCACAGCCTGAGTGAGTCTATTTTGAAGAAGTGGTATTAGAAGAAGTTTATGTTTAAAAAATTTGTCTCTCAAAAGAAATTTCAATCATTGTACTGTTGATATTTGGCTCTGTTGACTAATGAGTTTGCTGACCACAGGTGTAGATCCACAATATCCACAAAATCCCTTGCTGAGATTTTGACTGGGGTTGCATTGAATCTGTGGAACCAGTTAGGACTAACTGACACCTTGACTGACATAATGAGTCTTCTTATCCAAGAACATGGACTATTTTTCCATTTATTTAGTTCATCTTCTATTATTACAATATAACATTTATTTGGCACTTATTGAGTATCAAACATAAGACTAAGTATATTTACTTATTTTTTTTATTAGCCCATTCAATGCTCTGAATAACTCATTGGTTGCCCCATTTAGCAGGTGAGAAAATAGCAGTTGCCTAAGGTCATACAGTGAGTACATGGGATAGCTGAGAGAAGGATCAGGTCTTTCTGTCCCCAGAGTCCAAACTCTGAGATACAGGCAAAGACTAGATTTTAAAGGAGCACATGCCATGACAAGTAACTTGATTTTACATTTAGGTGATAGTGAAACCTTTGAGAAGTGCAACATGATAACTAATAGGCCAGCTATAGGTTAGAGAGGTTATTCTTACCATAATGTGGAGTTCTAGTGCAGTCTTAGCCAGAGATAATAAAGGTCTAAACTAGGGGATATTGAAAAGGATGGAGAAAAGGGAGTGACATAAGGATGCTAAGGAGGTAAGTTCGATAGAACTGACATAGGATTAATGGGAAGGATGTGTGGAATGATGCCCAACTAGGTGGGTTTTGTAACTGTCACCATGATAAACTAAAGGAATAACAAATGTAGGGGTCTGAGTGTTCTTACCTTGCTAAGAAGGTTTGGCTGGAAGATTTTTGAAGGCAATGCTTAGATACATGGAACTTGAGTTGGGACCTCTGATGGAGATGTCTGATAGATTATTGAGCATAAAGTTTGCAACTTAGAAGAGAAGTCTAGTCTAGAGATGTAGATTTGGGAACCATCTAGCCTATAAATGGTCTGTAGAAGAAAATACATGCAATGAAAATAGAAAATAGCAATAATTCTCTTAGAAAGACTATAATTTAAGGGGCAGGCCAAAAGAAGTTGAACTCAGGAGGGAGGTTGATAAAGTGTAGTTGGTCTGGATGAGGACTATGAAATAACGTTATCATAGAAATCAAGAGAAAAGCAATCAAGAATTTCTTCAGTAAGACAAGGACTCTGATGTACATGGCGTGCTGTACCAAACCCTCCATCCTTGAAGAGTGTAATCGGAAGGATAAAGACTACCTCTCCCAGAATCCCCTTGCCATCAGTGCCCTGGGCATAATTTACGTTAGACCATACCATTTGGGAAATGGAATTGAGGCAGCAGCTACACCACCCTGTTATTCTGGCAGGAGTGACTAAAGGCGGGCTTGGTTGTCCTGTAGTCATTTTGGCAGATGTACCAAACATCGCTAGTTTCTGGGGTGGAGCGCTAGCTTTGGGGTTGGTGGCACCAAAGGTGGCTTCCTGATTGT